TTGTATGTATACAAAGAATTTCTAAACGGTCAACAACATCAGGAATATCAATATTAATTTCTAGATCAAAACGACGAAGTGCTGGATTAAATGAATTTGGTCGATTTGTTGCCGCCATAACAATCACATGTGAACATTGTTGAATATCATCCATTAATGTTAATAATTGTAAAACAATACGATGTTCAATTTCACCATGACTTTTGTTCACGCTTTGGTGCAATTACATCAAGTTTATCGATGAAAATAATAGCTGGAGCATTCTAAAAACAAAAAAAAAATTATTTAAATAAAAATTGTATTATAATTAATATACAGTTAACTTCTTCAATTTGTCCTCTTAATTTTCTAGAAATTAACTAGTAAATTAACTTTACCTTTTTAGCTTCTTCAAATACTTTACGTAAATTTAATTCAGATTCACCAGGTAATTTAGACATAATTTCCGATCCATGGATTAAAAAGAAAAATGCACCAGTTTCATTAGCCACGGCACGTGCAATTAAAGTTTTACCTAAAATAAATATTTTTCTTTTTCTAAAAAAATGCTCTATTATTTTTATCATACCTGTGCCTAGTGGTCCATATAAAAGAATACGTCGTGGTGGTTTAACATCAATTGTTTTGAATAGTTGTGGATATTTTAGTGATAATTCAACCATTTTCTTAATTTGTGCTAATTGTTTACTAACACCACCAATATCATCATAACCAATTTCATTTAAAGATATTTCTTCTTCTTCACGTTTAATTGGATTATCTCCACAACGTATAACTGTATCTGGTGTAACAATACAGTAAGGACTTGGTTCAGTTTCAATGACTTTAAATTCTACAGCATGCATAGCTGCATGTACAATAAAAACATCACCTTTATGTACTGGTCGATAAGGTTTACCAACAAAATATGGCTTTAAATAAACTTCCAATAGATTGCCTGTTATTCCGTGTACAGTATCATCAACAGGTAAAACATCTATACGTTCACCATCTTTAACATCTAGACAGCCTTCAATTGAAACAATATCACCTAAACATACACGTAAATTATTTCGTACAGCACGATTCATTTGAATACGATCAGTTGGACATAAACCAATGTCAACGGCACAAACTGTTTCTTGACAACCTTGAAGTATAACTGTAGCACCTGTATATAAATTTAATTGTTTCATTTTTTGAAATGATAATGCAATAACACTATTATCATTTTTAATAGCGTCATCGACGATTAATTGATTGGGCTGTAACATTCTCTTAACGTATATTTGTGTACTAACTATATGTGCTATCTCTCTACGCGTATATATAGGTCCTTTTTTTTTTTCTTCTCTTCTTTATTTCTTGTGCAATATCTATCTATTTTCTGTTTCGTACACATGTCGAACATTTCTTTCCTTCATCATAAAAACCTCGAAATTCATATTTGATTTTTCGTTCTATCTCTTTTTCTTCTTATTGCGCAGTTGGAAAAGAAGATGTCTGACCGACGTCATTTGCTCCACTTAATGTTTAAACTAAGTTCATGTAAAAGAATGTACCGAGATTATCTTTTTCGTTTTTGTTTTCTCTCTATATATCCCCTCGAAAAAAAAATAGTTTGACTCTGTATTTCTCATTTATTGTCACCGTAAAAAAAAAACATTTATTTAAAACTAATTATATATTCTGAAAGCCCGTGGAGTTTTCTATCATCCTGTACATTTACTTATTTTTTTGCATTCATTTATTGAAAAAATAATTTGAGCTCAATGAAGATACTCTCATGTCCAGATTCCCACAGATTTGATTTTTTCTTTGTCATCAAAACTAGTTTTGACAGCTTTTCATCACTATAGAATGGTCTTTTGAAAAAAGCAATTTCAGCTAATACAAAAACAAAAAAGACAATGATTTGTATAAGATTAAAATCATTTGCTAACAGTTTTCTTTGTTTTGCT